ATTCGCACCTACCGGGGTTTGAACCCAGGACCTCGCAGGTACAAGGCTAGCTCGTAGACCATGCAGGCCCGATCTGATAGCCTGTGAATTCCAACTTCTATCAATATGCGAAATATGGCGCAACCACCAGTTCATGTCATCGGAGAGTAAGTGTCCCTTTATCCGACTCGGTGAGCCCCACTGGTCACGACCCCTCGCCGGAATTCCAGGTGAGTTGACACTGCTTGGCGGTTGCGCTTCAAATCGAGAATAGACAGAGGTAGGAATTCACGGGCCACTGGATTGGGTCTCAATGGTTGAATGATATGAGGACCCCTGAAGAGTCCCAAACTAGGATGAAACAGCTGTTCAGTGCATACTGGTTTTCCAATGGTTCTTAAACTGATGTTACCCCTTGATCAAATCCGCAATCAATAGTTTTATTTCCTGGAGATTGCTAATCCTAACGCTTTTATTTTCCTTTAATCTCTACATGGAGAAGAGTAGAGTAGGACGATGGATATTAATCTTAACAAATTGTTAACTAGATTTTGATGTTTGTCTTATATTACATGATATGATGCCATTTCAAACATACGAGCCTTTAGTCAGCGTTACCTTTTTCAACAGTTAACACAGTTCAGTAGGTTCAGTTTTCTCTCTCGTATACAATAATTTTCCTTGTAGTGCAAAGGTGTCTACTGCTACCACAGCTGTGTAAGTTAATCATCCTTTTTAACATGCTTATTCTTTCTACTACAAAAACAAAAAAAATAACAAGAGAGAGAGAGAGAGTAAAATCGTAGAAAACAACAACAGGTTCATGATTGTCAAGCCTTTCGTTAATTAAATTAGACACTATTTTTTTAAGAATGATGTTTATTTTACCACTTAACGTATTTCTCCACTTCATCCATCTGTCCGTTTATTCAACTTTACCAGCTTATTTTCTATTTGTTTATCTGGTCATTTTAACATGTGTTAATTCATATCGATATTATTATGTTGACTGTAAAGATAATAGTGATAAGCATGGAGAATAATGAACACTTTTCGGTGTTCTTCTGTCTTCACTGTCTGTCTTCACTTATCTCATACCCTTCATCATTAATACAATGATATTTTCTAAAAAGAAAAGAATGTTTCTCCCGCTGGATTGAACAAAACGACTTCTTTTCTGAAAATAAACAGACAGGAATTACTGATAACAGTTTAGTTAGTGTATTCTGTTTTTCACCATACATACTTGTGCATATACGAATACATTAGTATAACAGTCAGATACCTAATAAAGTAAGTATCTACTGTAAACAGAGGCATTTCTGTATTGTCTGTCTTGAAAACTCCACTCATATCTGCTTTCTAGGTTTTGAAAGAATAGAAGTATACAGATTGACTTGAAAAGTAAAGAATAAGATTGAGTGATAGACAGTTAAACAAAAGGCGAAGTTCTGCCCAGCTAGCAATATCATATGTTGTAATTATACGTTAAATGTATCTTGTCCAATGCTCAACAATTCAACTTGAATGACACTTTTAACTTTTCCTATTCATCTAATAACAAAATTATGTTTAGTGATGTCTAATCTCACCATTCTTCTCAAAGTTTTGTCCAAACAACACAACAGAACAATTTAACAGAAAAAAGTAAACACTCTGTTATGGTTTGAGAAATATTAGGATAGAATCTGTCACGATACCCTACGCAAGATGATGACACATCGATAAAGTGAATTAGTAGAGTATTAGTTTCAATAACAAACGGGCGCGAAGGTACATAAAACTTATCATCCATTTTCGATAGTATATCGGTGTTATAATATATTGAGAAATTTTGAGGTTAGGCGTAAAGAGTCAGATAAAGAAGGTAATTCAACGGATAACATCATGAAGGTGAATCAATTGACATGGCACGTGTTGCTCATGCCAAGCCGTCGCCTTTCTAGTCCATCAATGTTAGCTAATGTAGGATTAGATTGGAAAGGAGGGTCAACTCAAAATCTGCCATTAATCCTTGAAGTCTTTGACAGTTGGTGTCAGCCATATACTGGGTGTAGACTATCTTTATGAGGCCATCAGGATACTAAGAACCAATGACTGAAGACTGTTGGTAATATGGCTCAAATTTTTTCTCAATGCCATAGATGTATTCACTCTCTGTTTATCCCCTATATATCATTATATTTTTCTATGTTAATATTTTTCTTTTCATGCATTTCTGCTGATTATGGTTCTTTTGAATTTCTTTTTTCTCCCTTTTTGTCTACCTTTGTTTGCTACATGGAGTGTGGTAACTTGAACTGGTGCACTTCTGTGTCAGTCAGTCAGCGACACTCTCAAATATATTTCTTGAGTTCGCACAAATAGCTGATCTAGAAAGAGGATATTTCGGGAGTTTTTCCATACGAGAGTTCTACAATGGAGAGTTTAAAGAATTTACTTTCAGAAATGTCCCCAATGATTTTCCGCTTCAAACACAGTAACAAGTAAAAGAAATTCAATTATTCTAGGAATCAGTAGTTTTAGATAAATATAATGAAAACGAATGATAGTAGCAAACAGTTTAAGATGAGAAGTTATAGGATCCGGTAAATTATTGATTGAACGAATCACCAAAATAGACATAGAAATAGAAAACATCTCATATTATGTTGGAATCACGTAAACTAGAAGGATGGATAGAGCAGATCTCTTCGTCTTAACATATAAAGCTGTGTTTTCTTTATTTCAACCAATACGTAAACAGTCTATATAAACCTTACAGCACTAAGTCATCATCTTAATAAGAGTACGAATCTAAACTGACAAGTGCTTTTATTACTATCTTCGTTGCCATAGTTTTCCATAGTTTTTAGCCTTGATAACAATCTGTTCATTTAAAAGCTGCATTATACCACAACTTAACTGAAGTTGTAGATATTATTAAAGCATATATATATATATATATATATGAATAAGAGCTGCTGTTAAAAGATGTCAGGTGGTAAAAAGCCCATTACATGACCCATTTGAACTAGTCTATCATTCGTAAAATTTCATTACATGTTTTTAGAATAATTAAATCTTTAGATAGTTAATTAAACACGTCATCCATTGAATTTTCGTCTTTTTTCCCCTGACGTATAACTCTATATTGTAGCATGTGTATCTATGTTAGTATGCAAAAAATATACATAATAGCTTAGTTATAGGTGCACTTATTAAAATGCTGATTTATCCAGGTTAATCATCTCAGCAGGCTCATCTGGTAAATTCATTATAACACGTTCAATGATTTACGTTAGCGGTTTAAACAAAATTTAATTAGATCATTTATAATTTTTCAACGATGATGTCGATTAATATAGGGAAATATTTATTTTTGTCAGGTATTTCAATCAATTAAGGAATACATGTGAAATATAACAAAAAAAAATTCAGCTCTTAACCCATTTACTACTGGAGATATTGAATAGTCTGATGAGTAAGACATCAACGACAAAATTTTATGGAATGAGGTAATGAACACAATGGATTTGCAGTTTCGATCACGAACTGACTTCTGTTAGAGAACTATTGAAAACCAAGGATTACTGGACATCTGTTTCGTCCTTCTTTAGGACCCTTGAGTAGCACGCACAAATGACCCCAACACGGAAAGAACCTAGAAGCTTTAGGTTACAAGTAGAACTCGTAGTCTGGGGATCTTCGGCAGTACGCACTCACTGGGGTTCGAACCCAAGACCTTCCGTTTACCTGCTACAGGAAAGAGTTTCCTAGAGTTCTAGTGAGAAGTCGTGACCAGTGAAGTCCATCAGGTCAAGTTTGACGATGGATGTTCCACCGACGATATTGGTTGGTAGTCGCGTTAAATCACGAATTGGTAGAAGTTAGAATTCATGGGCTGGTCACTGAAAGGGGTCCCAGTGGCTGAACTGTATACGATTCATTCCTTTTCCAAACTCGACCAGAGCGAGAGACATTAAAACAGAAATGAAACCCAGCAACCAACTTTAATATTAAGATGATGGGTTTTGTAGGGATCTGGATTAATTCAAATGCAAGTATCAGTCAATCTCCAGTTTACTGATAGCTTTGGATGGGTATCCTGAAAGTAAACTAGAAAGCGTGATGAATGGGGTTCACCATGTCATCAAAGGCATTGGTGAAGCTAGCTCTATATCACGAATTAACAAAGCTGAAATTCACACGCCATTGTATATCAGCTCAAGGGGCTAAATGATCAACGAGCTTAGTCTAGTAATCTGAATGTTTCAGGTTTGATCCCTGACGGTGTTATGGGTATGTACTGATGAAGAGTCTCAAACTGGGACGAAATAACTGATCTGTCGAAGTAATGTTGGTTCATGATGAAATTCCCATTGAAACCAACTTTAAACCATGCAATAAAATTGATTTTAGAAACAAATTGATTGAGTTTTCATTTTTTTTTAAATTTTCTTTTCTTAACTACTAAGTAAGTTCATTCATTTTTTGCTGTTTTAAAACTTGGACACATAAGCTACAGATGTTTAAATACTTAGAACTTAAATGTGATTCGTGTTTTTTATTTTTTATTTTGTAAGATAGTTGAAAATTCACAATAATTTTCTTAAACTAGTCACTAACACTATTCTCTTTGTTTGAAATGAAATAAAAGAAGAAGACGAAGAAGGGGAAAAAACTATCACTCAACACACCTGTAAATCGGTAACATATGTGTATTTGTTTAAATACTAAAGGAGAGAATTATATTCAGTAATAGTGATAGGTTCCTTCATTTTGTTCTCCATCTCTCTTTCTCTCCTTCTCTTCTATTCTTTCCTTTCATTTCTTACTTACCTACTTACTACTATACTTCTTTCATTCTGACATTTTCATTTTGCCTTTATACACACCCTTGTTATGTTTTTGTTGTTTGTTTTCTGTTGCTTCCATCAAAAAACATGAATACATACACATGAACAAAATGCGAATGGATACATCGTTTACTAGTAGAAAGAGTCTTTTTTATTTTTACAAAACACAGACAACAGATATATACATATATATATATATATATGTATAGCGTTCAAATTCAATCCAATGTACATTTTACACATACATACACAAATGCATAAATCTCATTCTATATGGTATAAAGTTCACAACCAATAAACTGGTCATTCATTATTGTCTTACTACTAGTTGTGTATCCTGTTTCCCAAATCATCTTTCAACAACATTTTCTATCATACACATGTATATAATTCTGTATTACTACTATTACTATTATTATTATTAGTAGTAGTATTAGAATTATGAATAATATTGTTATTCTTAGGTATTATATCAACTGTACAAAAGTGAAGGGAGCATAAGGATTAAAATATTGAATTTTTCAGACTGAACATTGAATTCTACTTTTCATTGTTCATTGTTATCCATTTTCTTTTTTTTTTTCATTCATTGTATAACTTCAAAAATTTCTACATTTATTTGAGACAATATATGCTGTATGTGTATTATGTCTACATTTGTTTAAAATGATGTCTCATAATTGTAGAAAGAAGAAAATCATTTTCAGTAATAACGATAATAATGACAAATTTCAGTATCGAATGCTTTAGAAACGACCAGTGATATTACCGTTGATACATATAACTTAAATATCATCTTAATTATTAATATGCGAACAATTCTGATGGATATATTTATGAGAAGTAATAACTTCAAGTGATAGTGGATGTATTGATGAACAATAACAATAATGTTTAACTGGTAAGCTAAGCTTTTATTTAAAAGAGTTAGTTTGTAAGAATTTGATTTGTTTCAAGTTTGATTACAGATTGAAATGACTTAGAGAACCACTGAAAACCAGGGAGTACTGGACAGCCGTTTCGTCCTAGTTTAGGACTCTTCGACAGTATGAACACACAGTCATGTTAAAATCGTGAATTGACAGAAGTTAAAATTCATGAACCATTAAGTCCTGGACCTAGTGGCTGAATAGTCAATGAGGTTGACTGCATACCCTGAACGCCATAGGTTTGATCCCTATGTGGTCATGGGTGAATACTGATGAAGAGTCTTAGACTAGGACAAAAACTGTGTAGTACTCCATGGTAATCAGTGGTTCTCTTACTGATATTACTCCGTGACCAAAATTGCCAGCTACTGTTTAACTTATGTACGCATTAGTCTGAAATAATGTAAAGTGAACAGTAAAGACTCCCGATGAGTAAAACAGGTTTCAGTGAGAAGATTTGTAGTTGAGGTGGATGATATTGAATTAACTGTGTTATCTGAGCCGGTTAATTTAATTGCGAAGGTTTTGTCAGCCTTATAAACGACATCTTCAGCGCATGTTTTAGTATGAAATTAACTTATTTGAATTCCCCATGAATGTTGTAGTTGTATCTCCTGGTGACCACTGTTGTGACTGGTTGTTAATTTAAGTCTCTATTTATCATTTTGATTGACTTGGATTTGGAACTTTCTTGTCATATGATTTACTGTTTGTTACCTAGCAAATTTGGTCTATAATAATGCGTTCGCTAATTACTAATTTATCTGGGTACCAGGCTTCTAGAAATCTCCTAGCATATTTAGTGCATCCTCTATTTAAAATTTCGACATTATCGCAATCAAACTGGTATCCACAATTATTTAGATGCATCGATATGAAAGAATACACATCGTGCCTTTTCACAGCTGATTTATCATCTTGGATCCGGACACAAAGGGGACGCCCACTCTGACCGATGTAATGTCTGTTACAGTTCATAAAATTTATTTTATTATTGGTATTAATTTTATCTTCTTTTTCTATTGGGTCTTTTGGCTTGCACAATATCGAATTAAATGATTGGACTGGCTTGTGTGCTACCTCTATTGCAAACGCTCTTAATATTCTAGCTGTTATTTCAAAGATATTTTATATATATGGTAGGATGAATTTTCCTGTTGTTTTTGATAATGGCTTGTTGTTGGTGTTATAACACGAGTTTAAACACTTTTTGATTAAACTGTAAGGACATCCTTTCTTTTTGAAGATGAAGATGCTCTGAAGAAGTTATCTAGAAGGACGACGAAAGCTTCTCAGTTCACTCACCCAGCTCAGAGAGCACAACTAATTCAAAGTAGATTTCAGTAAATAGTTACAAAATTAAACACATAGATGTTTCAGAATCTGCTAAAAGTCTCACAGTATACACTACTCAAATACAATTCCGTAGGTAGTATGTATTATCATTATTATATCCTAGAATTCCTAGAGGAACATAGGGCTTCAGCTAGGCGTCTCCATTGCCTTCTGTTTTCTGCCAACTTTTTCACCCGCTCCAGGTCTGTTCACATGCTTTCATCTCCTCCTCGCATGACCTCCTCCAAGTCACCCTTGCACCGACGACCAACTCGCCGCCTCCCACTCGGGTTCCACTCGAGCAATGACTTGTCTAGGGATGTCACTCACTAGATGGTTTCCTCAGAGTATGGCCAGTCCATCTCCATTTCTTCCTGTCTATTTGTTTCACAATCGGTTCCTGGTTGGTTTTCTCCCAGAGATCCCTGTTGCTGGTCTTTTCTGGCTGGCCATCTGATCTTGAGTATTGAGCGAAGACAACTGTTGATGAAGGTCTGTAGTTTGTTTGAGGTGCTCTTTATGACTCGCCAAGTCTCTGATCCGTATAGTAGCACTGACTGACTTTACATTGGAGTTGAAAATCCGGATCTTATTTTTGATGCTGAGTATGTACTAGATGCAAATTATATTTCCTGCTATAGTGCTAAACTCACTCACTATATAAAATCTGATAATGGAAGTTAAAATCTAATTCGTATTTGTTGATACCAGCAAACTCACTATTTAGGTTCTAAATTTTCTGCGGATTTCTGTTTAATATCTTGTAGTAACATAAGTTTCCTTCCGGCAACCTGTTAACTTTATACCGGTTAGTGAACACTGCTATTAACTAGAGTAGTTTTGTTCCATATTTTCATCATACTGATTTAATCAGAAATCTATAGAGTTCTCATAAATAACCCCTTCAACCTAACCTTAGCATGCTATTGAGCCTACCTTTCAGAATGAGGTCAATTTCTTCAGCTGTATAAACAAAACTTGTGTTGTTAGTTCATTGTTTCCACTGATTAATTTTATTTAACTAACAAACATTACTGCAAATAAAATTGTCCTCTTAAACTCCAAAAGTATTATGTCCGAATTTAAATTAAAAGCCCCCAGTGATACTGGATTTCGATAAAGACATACAATAAATTGGGCAAATTTGAAAAACAGAAAAATTTGGATTCTCATCAAATGGCTGAATAACAGTTAATTTGTAGCAATGCATACTGGATATGATTTTTAAATACATTATGTTTATTTTTGTGGTGAATCACACATATAAGGATGAAAAAAATCGGTAAACCAAACTGACAGTGATTTGTGAATGGGTGTATCGTGGGAAAACAAATCAATAATGAAACACAAATTAATCGTATACACTCTTTGGTTTGTATACTGAATAGATAGATACTACGCCGAAGGTCTCAAATATCTTATATTCATGCTTCTTGCTCTTTCATTACGTAATAAGGCCATCAGTTGATTATATTAAAAAGAAATTAAGTTGCAAGAAATTACCAACTGTAATAAAATATAAAAATAATCCAATGCTATAAAAATATTCACTATGATTTATGTGTAGAATAATTTATTCAAACTTTATCGGAAAAGTGCTTTCAGTGGTTGGAATTCTATTATTATTATTCCCTTAGTTTACGAATGGAACAAAGGACTTCAGCAGCACACTTGCATTTCACCTTGTTGTCTACAATCTTCTTCAGCTGTCTCCACGATTTCCCATAAGCTTTCATCTCCACCATTTCACGGCTAGACGAAGCCCAATATACCATTCCCCGTTCAGGTTTCATTCGACATGTTAGCTAACATGTTACATAACTTGATGGCCTTCTCAGCGTGTATCCAATCCATGTCCATTTGCTTTTGCATATTTGTTGGGCGAGAGGTTCTGGGTTGATTCATCATCAGTGTCCTCTGCCGCCTATCCTTCCTGTTCATTGAGTCCTCAGTAGGGAGCCAGTGAAGGCACCTGTTGTTAAGTGTCTGACGTTTGTTCCAAATGCTTTTCGTGCTTAGTGTGCCATGTCTCTGAACCGTATAGAAACACTGACTGATTTAACACCAGTGGTGAAAATCCAAATCTTGCTTTTTATTCTGAGTTCAGCAAACTTGCACATTGATCTTAGGATAGTGAATGTCTGTCTTGCTTTTCAAATTCTGCCTTTGGTTGGCATCCTTTATTTTCTGTCAACTGAATTTAGATATGATTCATATAAATCATTATTGATTCAAAAAGAATAAGAATTTTTATTGGAATACTTGAACTTTTTAATTTTTGATCAATAGAGATGAATTTATTACGCCAGCTATAGATGTTTAAGTAGTGAATAACTATTTGGTGTTTGGAGATAGATAAACACAAAGATTCATGTACCACTCAGAACACAAAATGATATACAATCATGTACACCCAAATGTTAAGTTTTAAATTTGAAAAAATTCATATCCTACCAGACTAATTGTTCGAAAGATTAAAAAGATTGCTAGGGATCATTATTTACTCCACTAGGTCTACTGGTGGAATCCAGGATGTCTGTTTTGTTCACTTTTGGATTTATCTGCTGAAGGTACCTACATCAACACTGGATGATATAGATGTTTCCATAGAGGCTCGAACCCAAGACCGATTCATTAGTTTCAACGAGCAAAGTATTATTCATTAGGCTGCTAGGGAATGAAAACCAACCACTCCTTGTAAGAAGAGTATTACTTGTTGTTTGAATCTGTTATTATCAAAAAGAAATTCAAAATAATAATTTCAAATAAAAATGTGATTAAATTATTGAATTCATCATCTCAAATCAACTATAAAACAAATATGTATGTATATCCATGAAACTAGCCTTGGGTATTGTTTCTTCACATTTTAATTGAATGATACTGTCAGTCAGTAGAAAGGCAATTAAGCAATTAGTAGGTTGAGTTTGTCTTTTTCAAATTCAGTTTTCAAAAAAAGATGACTAGCTTTAATGATTACAGCATCAAGAATATTTTGATTAATCGGAAGATAAACATGAACATAGAAAGATATTCTTTCATCCGGATCACCTACTCATCAAAATGTTCACCCAAAATGAAAATGCTATCAGGTATGTAAGGTAAGATAATCACGTGAAACCATGTGTAGATCTGCACGGCATACTTTGATCTACATATTTCGGTGTTTGATTTCCACTTACCTTTTATGTACCGAGGTATTTATCTTACTTTAAATGCCTAAACTGTAATAGCTTGAATGATGCAGAAAATGAAATACTTAGAGTAGTTGTAAAAATTAAAAATAATTTCATAAAATTATGTCTTACAATGTTATTAAGAATTGAAGTCAATATAAATCACTTATTGGTTCATACTTGATTGAGATAGGAATCAACTACCTTTGGTATTCACAGTTTGAAAATCTAGTGTTTCAGCATGTATAAAGATTTAAAGTTACTCAATAATCAGTGAAATACAAATTTAGGTTGTGGCAGGATTTGAACCAGTAACCTCTAAATTACCATTCTAGTAATCAGTCAGCTGGGCCACAAGCCTGTGATTAGATGAACACTATATTTACGAGAGTTAACAGTGTGATATAAAAAACACGTTAGAGTGGTGTCCATTTTAATGATACAGGTTTAGTTTGAAATACGAAATCTTGTGACTTTTTTGCAGGACTAATCTTTTGACAGTATTAGTTTTATCTCTACTTTTCATGATTGTATAAGCTAGCCATGCAGTTCTTCAGGTAGTGGTTACTCAATTTATATTATATCCTTTAATTCTTAGAGGAACATAAAGCTTCAGATGCGCACCTCCATTGCCTTCGGTTTTCTGCCAACTTTTTCACCCCTCGCCAAGTCTGCCCATATGCTCTCATCTCTTCTTCACATGACCAACTCGCCGCCTCCCATTCGGGTTCCACTCGAGCAATGGCTTGTCTAGTGATGTCACTCACTAGATGGTTTCCTCAGAGTATGGCCAATCCATCTCCATTTCTTCCTGTCTATTTGTTTCACAATCGGTTCCTGGTTGGTTTCCTCTCAGAGATCCCTGTTGCTGATGATTTTTATCTAATATGATAGAGAAATTACTAAAGTTATTAGTTATCTTGTGTATAGTTGAAGTTTAATTATTCTTTGATAAGACATTTTGTAAACAAAATTTATCAGCAACCTGTTAATTTCATAAAGACGCCTTAGAATGTAAACTTCAACACTGACGTCTGGTAATAGCAACATACCACTTTTGCTTAACAAAAGTACTATTCGAATAAATTATCTGATTTACAGTCTATTTTGACGTTTATACAACACTTAACTTTCTAAATCCATTATGGGTGAAATTCATTTTTATTTTGATGAAGTTTCACAGTTATCAAGGTGATATGATGATAAGCAATAAATAGTAAATAGTGTGGTGAAAGCTGGCTGTTAGTCAAAATTGGTGGACAGTATTTTACGTCAATGTTTATGTCCCCAATATTGGTCATGAGAAAAATGAGAACAAAGGCTTTGTGTAGGCGGATACAGTTAACATGTGGATGATCTGACATTCAAGAAACAGCCACAAAGAGATGCAAGGTTAACTTTCTGTGAGAAACAACCAAACAGAAGACTATGTTTTTCTACTAACAATATTCTATAATATGTACATGAAAATCTATAAATATGTGTTGATTTCATTATTAAAGGATCTGTTGCCTGGTCCTTGTCTTCTGTTGTTACAATAGTACTGCATAGCACTGTGAGACATAATCAAAATAAAAGTAAATTTTATCCATCATGGATTTATACCCTACCACAGTGTCCAAATTCTATCAATATAGCTTAACTTTCTAGCTCCATAAACTCATTTCATCAGAAAATGCAGATTTTATTTTCTTATGACGAATGTAAACATATATATATATATATATATATATATATATATATATATATATATATATATATATATATATATATATATATTGCTAAAGGACTTCACTAAAATATTCCTTCACTATATTGACTGCAAGCAACATAAGATTGATACTGTTCACTTCTTCTGGAAGGTGAATGAAGTCAAATACGGTAGAAAACCAAAGGCTGAAAGTCCTTTCATATTTTAACTCCTCATTCTCAAAATAATATATGATGAAAACTGCCACTATATAAGTCTGATTATCCAAAGAATTGCCGTGAACCAAATTAAGAGACAATAGGAATTTCGACTGACTTCTGCGAAAGTAGTCTGTGAAGACTATACAGACAATTCATTACAATTATGATTTATTGTCAGTGCCGTCAAAGTACGCAATTTTGGTTTCTCGCTGATGCAAATGAAGGTCACCAGATCACTTCATGCCTCTAGCCTTATATACTGCTGTATTAATGTATTATACTAAATTTGTTAGCCTAACGATCAGAAAAAATATGATGTAATTCGTGAGAAATAAATATCCAGAGACATTTCTGTATTCTAAACTTACCGATCTTACTCTTCATGTATGACATTCAAGTCACTGTCAAACTTTTAAATATTGATTAATGCAGTAAATGCAAAAGCGGATAGAATCTGTTGATTTTCGTCATATTTTTCTTCACATTTTCGAATTGTACTTTGGGAAAAATATAGGAAAACTGTTGTAATATTTTTCTAGTTTGTAATTTTTACTGACAAGTAATTAAATTTGAAAGCAACTTTCTCTTAAGGAGAGTCTAATGAAAGGAAACTTCTTTTATTTTTTTCTTCCTAGTCCTTATTAGTGCACAACTGATATTTGCTTATTTATTCCCTTAGGTTCTGAGTGGAACGCAGGGCTTCAGCAGCACATTTTTATTTCATCCTAATCTCAGTTCAGTCCTCTTCCGTTAGCTACATGAATGCCAATAAGCTATCATATCCTCTACACACAACCTCCTCCATGTCACTGACGAACCAAACTCAGTTCGTCACTTCCCATTTGCGTTCTAATCGATGGTCTGGTGCCTGATGTGACTGAATGGTCTCGTTATCGTGTGTCCGACTCAACTCCGTCTTTTTGACAATTCTGCCGGTCAGTAAGTTCTTGGCCGGTTCATTCCCGGGGTTCCTTGCTGCTTATTCATCTCTCCTGCCACCGGATTTTCAGCTTGGAGAGAAGACAACTATTGATGCAAGTCTGTAGCCTGTGAGAAATGCTTTCGGTGACTAACGAGTCATGTCCTCGAAGCATACAGAAGCACTGACCGACTTGAAATTATTGGCGAAAATGCAAATCTTATTCTATTTGCTGAGTGCAGTAGATTTCCACATTGATTTCAGAGTAATGAATATCTGTCTCGCTTTTCCGATCCCAAATAGCTTTGACATCCTCATCGGTGCCGCATGGCTGCAGTTGAAACGATGCTGTCAAGAACAGTGAAAGGGGTGACTTCCTTTATATTTCTCTCGCTTATAGTGTTTGTTGCTTGCTGTTGATGATGACTGGGTACCTTCATCACCTCCGTCTTATCGATGTTCACTAGAAGCTACATCTTTTCTGCTTCTTCTGTCAGCTTTTTGTATTTTGCTTGTAGATCTTTGAGTTTGTGTATGTGTGTTTGAATCGTCCGCGATGTCTACATCTTCTAGTGTTTTCTCATCGGTCCAATGCATGCCCATCTTATCGCTCCAAGTGGTCTGCCAAATGATCCAGTCTGCCACATCTAGGAATATTATTCGTGAAAGTAGATAGTCTTGCCGTACTCCTGTCTTTACTTCAAGGGATTCGCTGCATCTTCCGATATGGATCATTTGAAATATGGCATTGTCGCATAGCTGTTGAATTTGGTTGATAAAGGTTTGGGGTGTTGAAATATTTCACGAACCACTTTGCCTTCATTGCCGTTGGAAGCCTATTCAAAGTAGATGAATCTGAGGTAGAGATTTGACTGTCATTCTATTTTCTGTCTGATGGTGGTGATAATGATGCGTAGCGTTGCAAATTGATTCGCATATGGTTTGCTCTTCATGAGTCTGGTTTGTGTGAAGTAACAACCTAAATCAGTGACACGAATAGAACTGCCCATTTATTTGACGGATAATCTCGCTTCCAAGTTGTGTATTACAGTTAGGTGGATTCACCAACGGTATAGATTTTTGTTCTAACCAGATAAAATGGTTTTACAGATAAATAATGAATCTGAGTCATATCACAGCTTAAGTATAGGGAGCTCAAATCAATTTCTTTATACATTTTAGGGTTGATAAAACTTACCATGTACCATTCCTTCAGTGCATTCTTTAGTTGTTTCTGAATGACAACAGAATGCAGGTTTATAAACTGTTCTAACAACGAAACTTAAACAAACTTCTCAAAAATCTGCTTTAAAAGTGATTTCCTTATTTTGTTAAATTCACAAATTTTTCTTTTTAAACATTTTTGCTGTACCTTATAGACTAGAATGGCCTTGGAATATGACTGCTGGATCTGCCGAAAATACAATCCATTTGTTGTTATAATTTTATTGACGGAAATTTATATACATTTTTGCAAATATTACTATAATTATCCAAATTTACATATCACCTTTTTAACTGGTGTCAATGGACAATTAAATCTTTGGGTAGATCGTCAGTTAGTAATACAAATTATTGAATCAATGCCACATAATCAAAATATTCCGGGTAGGCTACGTTGTCCAAGAAGATTACCAGAAATTCACAGACATAGTAAGTTAATCTTTTAAAACTAAAAGTTACTGATGAACAGAAATTCATTATCTGAATCTGGAAAGTTTGATTACTTTCAACCTAGATATTATCGTCAATTGACATTCATCAAAGGATCATTGAAAACCAAGAAGTACTGAAAGATTGTTCTGTCCAGTTTGAAACTATTCAGCAGTGCACATCAGTGACTTCACCAAGACTTTGAGGTTTTATCACGGTTTCCCTTCGTAATTGGTATACTTTTGTGGTGAAGCATCTAAATTTGTGACTGAATGATGGTAAATTTTCACAAACCACGAGTAAATTCTGTACCAAAATTACATATACATTTTAGTGTAACTCTCAACACACGATAAACGGGTCATTATGGCGATTAACTCTTATCGATTTATACCCGATGTAGTTTATCAGTCAGTCATGACTCAGTTTAGTAATTATGTTGCACAGATGGAGCATCAATTAGTTCACACTATCTAGTACTCAGTATGCAGAAAAGTATTCATTTTATCAATGGAAATAAATTAAACGCATGAGTTGTAATACACCTCAAAATAACACACAGTGTTTGTTGTATGACTGATATTTCGATGATGCATGTTAGAATAAGAATATTTGAAATCCTGATACTTTCACTCAGGACATTCTACTTTTCAAAGTATTTTTCAGAATTTTGTATGTTTCCCGATATACACCACTTCGAAACTTCAATTTTGTATCTGTGTATTCGTAAAGTCTTGTATTCCAGTTACTCTTGCTGACCACCTATGATGATCAAACAGAATCTACGGAAAACCCAATCAACCGTCACTTAATTGGTCTTATTCTCTGTCTATAAGAAGAAAATAAAGTTTAGTCCAAATTCATGCTTTAGATACCCACAATTGACAAAAACAGAATCCCAGTTATGATGCTCACCGTTTGAATGCGAACATAAATTATGTTTGTTGGATTTCCGAGCACCATCCTGTGTGGTAAGGGAGAAACAAAGTCCATTCATAGTTCTATACTATCTCATCCCGTAGGCGCAGAACGCAAAATTGATGTAAACTAATCCTAATTTTTACCTGAAGAGTTTGTCTATTACATATTACTGAGGCTGTTTGAGTCTACGTCAACAAGTCTAATCTATGTATCCAAAAGAAATTAGTTCAGACGCTTTTCTTACCTTGGTCATCAAGGTTTTAATGATCCTTAATTTGTTGTAGAGATTTCCTAAATTTTATTTGATACTGTATTTACTATTACATCGATATGCTTATTACGACTTATGCATCTTTCTTGAACTGTATTTCCACTGATCTCAACAAGTTGACAGTATTTAAAAACACCAATATTGTTAATGACGGTTACTCTAGAATATTCTGTTTGTGTAAATATTTATATATAAATGTGGAGCCGGAAGAGAAAATTATCGGAAGGAATATTCTTTGCTCAAATTTCCTTATGTCTTCTAAATGTCTGAATGAGAATTTTTCCTATGTAAAACTCCTGTTTCTGCTAATTTTTAAAACTTCATAAAATGTGTATGGCAAACGACTGCCACTAAGTTACTAAGCTTTAAGTCAGGTCTAAAAACATAAATTTTATATTAAATGCATGCAACTCTAGTGTGCCATCGCTTTGTTCACATTTTTGCAACACCGAAAACACTTTAACTCCATAAGTAACATAAGTAGTATAATAATATGCAGACATTAATCAACTCTCCATTTTTATTTTTACAGTTCCAGAACATTTGTTTCTCGTTTTCAATGGGTTACTTTTACACGAAGCATTGGATCGTATTTCATTATCTGCTCATAGACCTATCCCTCCACGTATTGATATGTTACGTGTCAAATGGAGAGCAGGCTTTGAACGTGTAAGTATTCTAAGTTATACGTAATATATTTAGCTAATATTATCAATCATACAATGAATATGACATTAACTATACAGAAATATATATGTATAATTCAGAAAATTTTATTTAATTTAAGAATCGATTCACTATGGAAACCATTCGAACTGTTTCAGTTAACGGAGGGGTTTCAGCTTAAAAATTCATATTTCAATGCATAAACAAAATTAAGACATTTTGTGTAGATGATACTTTACCCGATTCGTGATCAGTAGGTTGTGTAACTTAAATTTGATATGTTTATCCATGTCACCTCAGTTTTATACCATAGTCATATTTCTTACTATAGAGGAAATCCAATACTTGTCGACGGTTAAGTGGAAGAGTTTTACTCTGATTGTTACACACATATTGATAAACGCATATACGTATTGGAATCAGTCGCATAGTACGTGTCACCAGGACGTCAAATAAACTTATCTCTGTCAAGTCAATCTGAATATCGCCTGTTTAAATATCCATAAAGTTTGTAGAAACAAAAGACAAACTTAACATTTCTAACCAAAAATACGGCGAATAAAAGTTTAAAACATTCCAATATGGCAAATATCCCCATTTAGACATTTAAAAGACAAAAATAGTAGGTTCATTGACAGTCACTGGATGTGTTTCTTGAAGCTGCATTGGGGCCCACCGTCTAATGGTGAAGTGGATGCTCATCAAAGGCATTGGCACTGACTGTTCCGCAAGCTTGACCTTGTAATCTAAACATCCCAGGTTCGATCGCTGGAGCGTTTGTGGATACTCACTCCTAGAGAGTCCCAAAAATAGGACTAAACAGCTTTCCAGCACTCCTTCGTTTCGAGTCATCTCTCTAACTGATGTTAGTTCGTGACAAAAAGCTCACAAATGAAAATAAATATTTACTCTTCTGTTAGATGGCCCATCTATGGTTCTATTCTAATCTGTCTATATCACTTTTAATACAATTCAAAAAACATTAATCAATCCAGTGGTGATCAGTTTGTTGACAATAATTATTCAAAAACAATGTGTCGAGGGGGATAATAATTAATCAAGAAAATTAATGCAATAACTAAAGGGGAGAAGTAACGTCAGGAATTAAAAACTCGGTCACGTAACTCACGATTTTCCGCAAATGAATAGTAATTAGGAAATAAATCATTGTTCAAATTAGCTGCGTAATAAACAATTAAAAATAAAATAGTCAGGATAATAAAACAATTAGGAAAAGGCTTCGGAGGAATAAGAAGTTGTCAGTTTTCTTGCTTTCATGAAATGATAGTCAGAGTTAGGAAAGCAGCTGTACAACTTGCTTCCAAACACACAGATCTGACTTCTTCGGGTGAATTTCTATGATCTCAGATGTATGTGGAAGACGAACTCGTAAAATAAAATTATTATTAATCGAGATGTAATAAATAACTTTAAATGATTTATTAACATCAACTTTTTGCTCTTTATCTACAAGGTGTGTTAAAACAGTGCTAAGAATAGATCTTGTCTGTTCACTGATTAATGATGCATGATGGTGTTTGGAAATCCAATTACAGACATGTTTAATTGTACTCTCAACGCAACTGACCCTACAGGATTAGTCGAACATATGAAGGTCTAACAATCTTGTGGAATATTTGGAAACAACACATAGTCAGAGTTATATTAACTAAGTCAAAAATTACTTACAAATGCAAGCAGATGAGATTTTATTAATGTCTGGTGGAGGGTCGAATACTAAAAAAAAAAAAAATAAAAGCGAATAATTGTTCTTTAGTTTTTATTCATATACAAGACGTAATCATAAAAATATTGAAATTCTAGTTTGTTTTATTTACCATAAGCGCGAGGCGATCAATTGGAAAACTCAAGTAACACACTCTCTCATAGTTTATTCCCTTTATTTTGGACAATTATATGGCATAGCCAAAATACCTGGAGTTTGAGTGAGTTCCACTCAGATACAAGTAAAAATGAAGAATTGCAAATGCAGTATTCCTCATTTAGCAGAATAAAATTACGAAAATGAAATTTTATACGTTTAACTCCGAAACGTAGATATGAATATGAAGCAACATTTACTTTCATTGAACAACAAGAACTCTTAAACCATTCAATCATATACATTATATAAATTTAACCGATTCATAGTTTAATGTTAATTATATATATATATATATATATATATATATATATATATTGTGGCGTGTGATACTGATAAAATTTATCAGTAGTATATAAAGAGACGTCCATCTGCAGAAAGCATCAAATTGCAGGGAGATAGATTTCACGTCAGAGAAAGCAAAGTATACGGCGTTGCGGAGATACATTGGATACGTGAAAGGAACACAGAGAAACACAGTATGAAGGAAGGCCAGAAGTAGCACAACACGAAAGATCTATACAGATGGTGATTTGAAGATAAGGTGTATATGATTTGGCCATATAGAGTTACCAAATTTCTAATTAACATTCCTTTACCCAGTCTCTCGTCTTATGCTATTACAATACTACTTGTGTCACTGCTGTAACACATAAACGCTTCAATAAGCGTCGTTTCTCTAGGGTAAATTATAAAACCACTGCATTATTTTGCTATCAAAATATGAAGAAAAGTGAGATTTCAAGGCTATGTGTTAGTACGAATAAAGTGATAAATACAGACCGGATTACTTTACACTGAAAACAAAATATTTAGGAAAAGTAAGTCCCAATGAACAAAATATTAGAAACAGTGGAAGTATATCTGTCCTCTACATTTAAATTTTTTGATTTCTTTATTTTAAACATTCTAATTTGTTTTCTAGTTAACCTACAATATCGATTTGAAGTCAATGAATCAAACACTTCTGCATACTCCACTATTAAATATTGCGAAATCTGGTTATATACCAGCTACACAATCTGGTAAATATTCGAATTATTAATCCGATGAAATTACCTATTTTATTTTTATTATGTCTGAAGAATATTCAATTTGTAATAAGTGTCTTCACTTATTTTTATTTTCAGTTGAAACTTTAACATATATGTATTTACGTTTTGATTTCATTTGCTGAATTCGTTAATGCTTGCATCGTGTATACAAAGTTGTAAGACTCCATTATTATTAATTCCACGGTTTCCCATTACAACACAGAGCTGAAGCAGCACGTCTCCATTTCATCCAGGTCTCTGAAGTTTTCTATAGCTTGCTCTATGGTACCGATGTGCGTCGGTGGCACTCCTTCACCTCGCTAAGCCAGTAAAAAGATTGGTTGAGAGGGAAGGTTGGTCATGAGGCTAGCAACGTCATCCCGTAAAAAACAAACACCGCTGCTACCGAAACTTCAAGCCCCTAGCATGAAATCCTATGTTCCACTGGGAACGCAAAGGAATTTTTTAAAAAGTGATATTCAGTGATGTCTCATCTCTTGCTCACACAGTCTCCTCGATTTCATCTTCGACCTAAGCCCAAATCGTCGTTTCCAATTCCAATACCACTTGAGGGTATGCTAGGCGGGTGGTATCATTCAGCGGTCTCTTCAGCGTGTGTCCAATCCATCTTCATCTCCTTCTGTATATTTTATTGATTAGTTCGTCCCTCAAGGTTCCTTTTTTCTTATGCTATCTGACCCACCATCTGAACTTCATTATGAAGCGAAGGTAACTATTGGTGAAAGTTTTCAGCTTCCTGTTCAAAATACCTTTCAGTGACTCTCAAAGTCTGTAAGTATATAGAAGTAGTGACTTCATATTAACAATAGCACCATACTGCTCATTGTGCTCTTTTCACTCACTTTAGCGTCCAATTTTTCAGGCACTTGATTGGTACATTTTAATCACAATAGCTATAACTTTCCGTACCAGCAATTTTGAGGCTGTCTCTCTACCGTATTTTTGACGAGCCTTTCAGGAAGACGATTGACTTTAATGAGATTTTCTAGTTCTTAATTGAAAATGTCGTCAAAACATGTTTCTTTACCTTTGCTTACAATATATTATTATTGTATCCTTTAGTTCCTAGAGGAACATAGGGCTTCAGCTGCGCACCTCCACTGCCTTCTGTTTTCTGCCAACTTTTTCACCCCGCTCCAGGTCTGTCCACATGCTTTCATCTCCTCCTCGCATGACCTCCTCCAAGTCACCCTTGCACCGACGACCAACTCGCCGCCTCCCTTTCGGGTTCCACTCGAGCAATGGCTTGTCTAGTGATGTCACTCACTAGATGGTTTCCTCAGAGTATGGCCAATCCATCTCCATTTCTTCCTGTCTATTTGTTTCACAATCGGTTCCTGGTTGGTTCGCTGATTGCCATAGATCCCTGTTGCTGATCTTTTCTAGCTGGCCATCTGATCTTGAGTATTGAGCGAAGACAACTGTTGATGAAGGTCTGTAGTTTGTTTGAGATGCTCTTTATGACTCGCCAAGTCTGTGATCCGTAAAGTAGCACTGACTGACTTCACATTGGAGTTGAAAATCCGGATCTTATATTCGTTTTTATGCTGAGTGATGTTGACCTCCACACAGACTTAAGAGTAATGAAAGCTTGTCTTGCTTTTCCGATTCTGGCTTTGATAACCTCGTCAGTTCCGCCTGTAGTTGAAACGATGCTTCCCAGGTCTGTGGGTAAAGGAGGTTGTTTCTTTCAGGTTTCTCCCATTTATGCTGTCTGATTGTTGTTGTTGTTACTGTTGATGTTGGCCAGGAATCTTCATCACCTCTGTTTGATCTATGTTCACCTGAACTCCTTCCTATCTTTGATGCTTCTTCTGCCAACTTGTTGCTTTTCACTTGCTTACAATATAGTTTATAAAATACTTCTGCTACTAATGTTGATCAACTCTACGTAAATGAATTCATCGTCTATTCTGTATTCATTGCTTATTAATTTGGAATATAAACGAAATTTAATTTCAGATGTACTCACAGAGTGCTATCTAAGACCCTTGAGAACTAGTTTCCCAACGAATATATTTACAAACTATCTTGCAATTAAAAGTACACTGCTATCAACTAGGAAGGTTACAGTTCCTAACTATTCCAAATTTATATATATATATATATATATATATATATATATATATATATTCACTTGTTCTTCAAAAAGGAAGTTATTATTATTATTTAAGGCCAAGTTAAACTTTGCCCTGCCGTACTTTTCGCCTGCATCCATCTTAGTCCATACTGTTTCAACTTCTCTTCACACGATCTCCTCCATGTCACCCTTGGACGTCCCACTCACCGCTTCCCTTCCGGGTTCCACTCGAGTGCCTGACGCGCGATGTCACCCAGCGGCCTCCTCAGCGAGTGTTCAATCCATCTCCACTTTCTCCTGCATATTTGTTGGGCGGCGATTGGTTCTCCTTTTGTTTGTTCCCATAGTTTCTTGTTGGTGATTTTTTTCGGCCCGGCCATCTGATCTTCAGTATAGAGCGAAGACAGTTAGCTGTTGATAAAGGTCTGCAACAGGCTGTTGGAAATATTCTTTATGACCCGCCCGCCAAGTTTCTGATCCGTATAGAAGAACTGACTGACTTGACGTTTGTATTGAAAATCCTACCGAATTTTGTTGTTGATGCTGAGTGACGAAGATTTCCAGATTGGTTTTAGCTTGATGAATGTGTTTCTCGCCTTCCCGATTTTCGCTCGATTTGACATCCTCGTCCGTTCCTCCTCCTGTAGTTGAGACAATGCTCCCTAGATAAGTGAGTGAATGAAGTAACATCTTTCAAATCCCCCCCGTTGATGGTGATTGGCGCTGGATGTTGTTGTTGTTGTTGTTCCTTGGTTAGTTTCATAACCTCCATCTTGTCCATGTTCACCTGGAGTTCGGTCTTCGCCGGCTGCTTCTTCGACCAGTTTGTCGATTTTCACTTGTAAGTCTTCGACTTTATGTGATATCAAACATAGATCATCCACGAAATTCAGGTCTTTTAGGTTCTTTACTTAGGTCTAGGATATCCCTGTCTTCTCGTTTCCGACTGTCTGACGCATAATCCAGTCAGTCCACCACAATTAGGAATATCATTGGTGATAATAAGCATCCTTGTCTGACTCCCGTGTTTACTCCAAACGCCTCGCTAAGCTTTCCGTTGTGGATCACTTAACATGTGCCGTTGTCGTACAGCTGTTGAATAAGGTTGGTGAATGTTTGGGGTACACCGTAGTACTCGAGTAGTCTCCAAATTACGTCGCGGTCAACGCTGGCTGTCGAAGGCCTTCTCAAAGTCTATAAAGTTGAGGTAGAGGTTTGATTGCCATTCCATACTTTCTACGATGATGATGATGATGATGTGTAGAGTTGCAATTTGGTCAGAACATGATTTGCCTTTCCTGAATCCAGCTTATTCTGGTTAGAGTTCTGTATATAGTGTGTCCTTTATTCTCTCCGGGATGATGCAACTCAGAATTTTACTTGGCGTCGACAGGATCATGATTCCTCGCCAGTTCTTGCAGAGTGGGGCCTAAGTCACCCTTCTTTGGTAGTTTCACGAGGTAACCTTTCCTCCAGTCAGTAGGCACCCTTACCTCCTTCCGGACCTTTTGCAATAATAGAGTCAGCATATCTGCTGTCGTCTCTGGACCCGCTTTTAGAGCTTCACGGGATATTCTATCTGGTCCAGCTGCTTTTTCAACTTTCAGAAGCTTTATTGCATTCAAGACTTCAGCTTTCTTTGGAGGACTGGTGTCAACCTGCAGTTGTGTGCGCGCTATTGTTGGTATTTCTGGACGGGTTGCAGGCGATGGTCGGTTCAAGAGTCTTTTGAAGTGATCCACCCATTGTTTAGTCTGTCTTTTTTCCTTGGTAATTGGGTTCCCTTGGCTGTCTTTTATAGGTTTCGCGTGTGTTGATCTCTTCCCGGATAGAGACTTGGTTATCTGATATAGTGTCTTCAGGTCCCTTTTACCTTCTACCTTTTCAGATTCAGTGGCCAGATTGTCGTAGAACTGTCTTTTGTCCTTCCTAGCACTCTTCTTCACTTCTTTGTCCAGTGCTTCGTAAGTTGAGCTCAGCGTCTCGTTCTCCTGTCCGTCCTTGCATTGAATCATTTTCTCTTTCACCATTCTCCTCTCTTCTATTAATTTCCAAGTGTCCGTTGAGAGCCATTCCTTGTCTTGTCTCTTCTTTCTTCCTAAAACCGTTGAACACGTTTCGTTGAGAATCGCCTTCAGAGACTTCCAGTGGTCTTCCACGCATGATTCTTCAGTGATGTCACGTGGTGTTTCCTGCTTTGCTCTGACAGTTGGAGTGAAAGTGTCCTTTGTGGTTGTGTTCTTCAGTTTTTGAGTGTTGAACTTGCATTGTGGCCTACCCCCAGCTATCCTCGAGGCTTTCAGTTTCACCTTGAAAGTCCCTTGTACTAGCTAGTGGTCTGAACCCAAATCTGCTCCTTTTCTCGACCTTGTGTCCAGTAGACTTCGTCTCCACTTCTTTGAAATTGAAATGAAGTCTATCTGGTTTTTGGTGTTTCCATCTGGTGAAATCCACGTCGTCTTGTGTATATCCTTATGTTTGAACACACTACCACCAATCACCAAATCATTGAAGGCACAGAAGTCAGAGAAGAGTTCACCATTGTAAGTCATTTCACCAAGGAAGTTACTTTGAAAATATTATGAAGAGGGTCTATCGCATTCATGAACATTTGCTAACATGGTTGATAAAAGGCGAAATAAAATACTCACTAGCTGCATTCAGCTAGATTTCATGAGAACAAGCTATCCATTTGACTTTGAGGTATATTTTTCATTTTCGGTTTCTTATCGCCATACAATCCGTTGTAATAAAAGTCAAAGTTTTGATGCACTCACTTTTCCTTGGTCTTGTAATAATTCTCCCATATTATTACAAAGCTATTAAATGGCTTATCGACGTAACTTTTTTTATTACTTTTTAGACGTTCAGATATCTTTACCATGCACTGGGAGATTTACTGGTATAGCTCCCTTCCAAGTAAGACTTGATGTTCAAAGAGAATTTGAAGGTTTACGAAAAATTCCTCCGATTTCGTTCATTGTCTATAAATATTGTCTGAGTGCAAGTAAGTTTAGATAGCATTAAAATGAGTATTCTTTAACATATTACTTCGCTTGTTTGAAATTCTTTTTTTTTTAAATAATACTTACAGCACTTATCAGCTTAGGGTTTGAACTCATTGAGTAAATTATAATAATATACGAATAAGATTTCAAAATTAAGTTGAACTTATTCACAGAAGTGGAAAATTTGGTAAAAAAAAAATCCACAACAACAGACTGAGCCATCTCATACAACATTCAATATGTGAACTAATACTTATGTGTTGTAAAACCATGGGCGCTAAGCTCGAGTCTCAGTGGTAAAACCATCACACACTGAGGGTAAATCCAGTTGACAGACGTCTTCGATCTCACCGCTAATCACCACCATTCAAATAATATAAACTAAGTTCACACTTAAACGGCATGATGGTCTCAATTTTAGTGTATATTGTATTTATGGAAAGTGTCTGGACTGTGAAATGAACCAGTTAAATATATGATTTTGCTTGAAACATGACTAAGATTCGAAATGCATCAATGTATGTATTGCAAACTCTTTCATCGAAATCTTTTTTTTAGAATTTAAATTTGGAAGGGAGAGCAATGTTATTCCTCCATCAGTTACCTAAATAAGTAGGCTAGGAGTCATATACTTGCAGCTAGTGTTTAAAGTCATCTTGATCGATGGTTACTAGCATTGGATTCTAGAATGCGCGTTGTATCTTATTTTCGGCAAATTAGCTGAATGTACCTGCATCCCCACTGAGTGGCATTGTTCCCAATGGAACACGTACCCAGTGAGCATCGTCTTAAAGGTTAAAGCACTATCACTTAGGCTAATGACTTGCGAGAGTCATCTGTTGTGCAGTGGGTATTAGTTGTTAATTTTTTTGAAATTATTATTTGATCAATTTTCATTGGAATAAAATGTTTCCGTCGACATTAACAGAGATTGGATATTTTAGTCCAATGAAGTTTATCAAAGGGAAATTCAAGGTAATAACTTCAAGATGGTGATGACTGTTTCTGAACCTCCTGTTTTTTTAGAAATATTCATATTTTAACCTTGATTTCATCAAATATCGTTCAAAGTCCTCTGTAGATATCGTATGCTTGTAAACAGAAAAGAAATTGAATTATCTATCAATTGCCGCAATTAGAATTTGAACTTTGTCCAATTTTTCTTGCAAATATCATCGTAACTCTCATTTTGGTCAACCTGAGTAGAGTAGCTATATGACTTAGTCTCCGTAAAACATATGCTGTTATGATTACACTGTAGTAAAAGTAATACTCCATTTTATCAGCAGCTACATAATATTCATGATTATTATTTTGTTTTGAATGATTTCCAAAATCTGTATGCTAGAAAGGCAATCTGTTTCAAAAGTCTAAGGATTCGGACTATTGATGTGACCTGGTTGTTTGTTTGCACCTGACCTCAAGCCATATTTATAAATTTGAAGTCATTTACTTTTTTTTAAAAATTTCCAAAATTGTAAACAGTTACTTATTTAGATAGTGAGTAATGCTGATCTGATTAGTTGTAAATCTTGAGTGAAATATATCGTTGGTTAGTTACGAAATGTATGACTTGAAAATATACTATTAAGAAATTGGGCATAGTGTTTATGACTTTTAGTCTGAACACAATGAATGACTGATTTTTCTGAGTATCAGCAACATTCAACCAACTCAGATCATGTTACTTCGGTTTATGGTGATTAGCGGTGAAATTCAAGATGATCATTTCGTCCTATTTGGTACTCATTAGTCGGGTGCATCAGCATTCCTAGTGAATGGCGATGTTTTCACTGACACTCCAGGCGTGCACTCGTCGTTTTAAACTTCCTTAGACACCATCTATAAGTCCGTACTAGGGGTTGACATGTCCACTGAGACTGAGAATTTTGGTCCAATATGATCAGTTAACTGGAAATACGAACTTACCTAAAACCAACTTAAATTATACTTCTCTTGATTTCAAGTACAAATCTTGGCATGACCTGAAATGACTACTTCATTAACATTTCTAAACAGAAGAAAACTGTTTATTTTAGAAGTCGCTTGCGGATAAAATAAGTATGAAATGCTGGTTTATAAAGAACCAGCAGCATTTTTGAAAAGATATGAAGCGAATTCTCTGAGTTGAGTTTTTTTTCCTTCACGTTCCCACCGGAACATAGGGCTTCAAGCTAGTGGCCTGAAGTTTCTGTAGCAGTGTTTTATTTTTAGAGGATGGGGTTGCTAGCCTCATGCCCAATCTTTCCTCTTTACCAGCATTATTTCTGGCTTAGCGAGGTAAAGGAGTGGGTCGATTGGGGATCGAACCCCGGCCCATGTGCATGGTCGGCGAGCGTCCTAACCGCTGTGCCACCGACTCACAGTTACACGTCCAAAAGGTTTATCTGTCGCATTAATAGCGTATAGAGTCAAGAGAAATAATCTTAAATATTTAGTGTCATAAGGTTTGATGAACAAGAAAGTGCTGATAATCCATAGGAAGTTTAGAAACAAGTAATGGCACCACATTAGCTATTGTATAATGGATGCATTTGGAACAAGCACATATGATACGTGTATCAGTGACTACAATTAGAGGATAGATCTCGGATCGCAGAAACATAAACTCCAGTTTCTACGACTTAGTCTGACTAAAGAATGATTTCGTTTGCTACGACTTATGATTATTACTACCAATAAAATCACAAGAAAAGAAATAATGAAACTATATGAACAAAGTCTGAAAGTTATATGAGCAATTTGAAATGATTAAAAGCAATAAGTTGTGTTCAAAATATCATCATTAAATGATACTGTATCACCGTGTGGATTCATCGGATAAAATTATTCGATGATGGCATTGTACTCTACTACAATGACCAAATTCTATTCTTATACATATGACCCATTTCTGTGTCGATTCATTTGAATCCTGTTGCAACAAAGATAGCTCTTCAGTTCCAGGTATCGCCCAACTTAATATTGTTACCACTCTGTCAAGCTTAGCATATCCAAGAGAGTTTTAGTACTAGTTAGGCTTATAATTTCTTCTGCATTACTAGTTGAAGTATTGTTTTTTATCAACTTCAGACTAATGCGATGCGATACATTATGTAAAGAATAATCATAATAGTATGAGCTGAAGTGACAGTCTTTATCTAAACTGATATGAAATTATTCTAGGTATTCAAAGCGAATTTCCGTATATATCAAAGAGTCAGATGTTCCGTGGAGGTTCAGAAGACTACTTGGAGTGACAAGTACATCATCACTACAACAATGATAGAAAAATATGTCTGTTTCAAAATATATTTCTACAGAAACCGATACCATCTGAAGAAATAATGGAGGACATAAAGGTCACGGTACTGTATCTCAAATCTTTTTGCACCTTGTTCAATAGCAGGATATTTCACTTTGTAAATCAGCACTCATCACGGAATTAAAACTAGTGCGTCAGGCAGTCTTCAAAAGAATGTGAAGAACTGATAAAGCCATGTTATAGTGTTGTGTTGCTCGAACTCCATTATCGATAAGATTTTATTTTGATAAATCACACAATGTTGTACAGTTATATTAATTGATGACGTTTCGAGCACAAACTACTGCTCATAATCAAGTTGATATGATTGCGCTCGAAACGTCATCAGTTAATATAACTGTACAACACTGTGTGATTTATCAAAATAAAATCTTATCAATAATGGAGTTATGCTCTGCCACACTGACCAAGTTTTGTGTTTCTCTATTTGACCAAACTAGTATACACGTATATCCTAGTACTTCTTCGCGTTTATTATTGTATCCTAACGTTGTGACTACTCGATATCCACAATGTTAATCAAAAGGCACTTGAAAAGGAGTACGAGTGTGTATTTTTTAAATTTAAAAGTTGAGCGAGTACAATGTATCAGCTGTTATCATGAAATCTTTACAGTGACAAACAAAGTCCAATTACATAGTGAAAAATTTATTACGATGATGAATAATAAAATGGGTCACTGAAATAGTGAATAAATATTTCTATGCATTTACTATTATTATCCTCATAAAGCTTTTAGAGAATGTTTAAAATTTGAAACGATGCACACAACAAGCGTCGAACTGCCGAACTACAAATTCGTCTATGAAATTTAACACTAATTCGGCATCTAATTTAAATTACCATATTGTGTGAGGTTATGAGTTTTCCGCTCAAAACAGTCACCAAGACTGAATGTGAAATACTTTTTGACGTTCTTTTTATCTTTCATTCGAGGTGAAAAATATTTTTAAAAATTTTCTACTCGATTTTGGTTGTTTTAACCAGCTAATACAACAAAATATTGAGCTTTTACTTGTGATCTATTACAAACATGTAGCAGTTAAATATATATAATTGACTGTATCTTATTCACTTTGTACTAATTAGGTCAGCATGCACGATTTATTATCAAATGTGAATGCCGTATTCAGTGTTTACAATCGAATATTAACAATCGTCAATCACTACGAAAACGCTGTATTCGACGCTGTCGGAGACGTTATGGTTTAAATAACATACAGGATAAACAAAGAAAATGAATAAATTATTTTCTGTTTTAAAAGATGAAACCAATTTAACTCTACTTTTTGTGAAGAAATAGCAATGAAACTATCAATAACCACGATAATAACAACAAATTCTTTAACATTATACCTCTATTCTGTATACCGTTAGTCCAGAACCTTAGAATTATTAATAAGCCTAAATTTTATTGATTATTCTGCGTTTTAATTCATCCAGACATTAATGAAAAGAAGAAAATAAGTAGTTCGGAGAAGAGGTTCTTTTCTTAGAATTCATTTTCTTTAGCTGTACAGTTTTATTTTATATACAGTTCTTTTATGGCAAGTCTCCGAAAGAGTCCATTGGAGTCAGTTGCGAATACGTTTCAGCTATATACAAGGTATGTGGATGACATTCAGATCATTTTTTACAATAATTGTGACTTCAGTCATTTGTTACAGGTATTTAGCAACGGCCATCCAGTAATAAAATCTACCCTTGAAACGAATGTGAAATTGCACTCTTTGATGTTGAATACAAGAAGAACCGACAGAAACTTGAGAAGTTCTGTCCATGAGAGACACATTCAGAACGGTCAACTGACAAGTTTCTACATTTAGAGGGCTGTTGAATGAAAAGTAAATGTAATTTCTTACCACTCACATCCGACGAATTTACAGCTCTAACACTCTAGAAGAATTACACCTTCTGAAAGGAATTTCCACTCAAAATGGATACCCACCGAGATTCATTGACAAGAACATCAAATCAAAATTTCAGAAAAAAATACATTACTTGTAACAAAAAAGAAACTTTATATGAATCGTGATTTCAAGGAAAACTTAGCCTACAATATCCCTAAGGGAGGAATTTCCCCATATTCGGGAAGATTCTTCGCAGAAACGGTAAGAGTATAGTTCTCCAGTCATCTACGTGTCTCATCCGGCCACTTCTATGTGAATATATCAGTTTCCTAGTTCCTGTGGAATCAGGCATATTGGACGTTAGAAGTATATCCTATCTAAAAGAGCTCAAGAACGCTATCCGTATATTTTCAGAAAGGCAACAGTCGCTCTATAAGGAGTGCGATAATTGAACACCTTATCAACACGAGTCATTCTATCTAGTCAAACTTCTTCAAAGTAATCTACAAGGCAAATAACAACTTGCTAAAAACAATGCGCTTTTGTCTCCTCTGCATTACTGAGACTATAGCATTCAGATAGAGAGATCTGAGCTCTGCTTATAAAAGTAAATTATTCAAGCACTTCTACTAACGTCATAACACCCTTATTGTTTTCCACTAACTTGACGTCGTTCGCTTTTAACTCTTTCTAATTCTTGTATTTCTTTCTAACTCTTACATGATATCACAGTTTCCTTCGTTTCCATATGCATCCTGATTAAAACTTCTTCACTCACCTTATTACGTAACTCTAGTACCTTTATTCATTGATTAATATCGAGAACTATGAATATAACAACTTATCACTTCTTTTTACTACCATTTTTCGTGAAAAAATTGTATATAAATGCGATTGTACAGCTAAAGAAAATAAATCCGCCAAAAACAGCCTCTGCGTTACACCAATTGTCATTTTCATATTTTTCCACCTCATATAAAGTTGTAGTGTGAACTACACATTTATACCCCACTATTTATTCAAACAAAATGATGTGTATGAGTCAATTACAATAACAAAAAGGTACTTTGAAATAGAGTCCTGGAAGTTAATACTTTGAAGGTGGAACTAATAGGTAGTGTGTTCGAGTCTCATTGGCACACAGCTATAAGTATATTCAGATAATCAATCCTTTCAATTCTGTCTTCAGGTGGTACTAAATGTATGTTATATATTTCTAGGAGATGAAATGAACAGTGAGATAGGGACTTATAGTAACACAATATATTTTTGTGTCAAATACAAAGGCTTTCACACATTTACAAACTTTTACACTATTTAGGATGATTAGACACAGGAGTAACATAGTGTAACCATACTATTCAATATTTTCTCCTAAAAGAGATTTTTGTGGACTACACAGTTTTTTCGTCCAGGTTAGTGCTGCCGTACAGGAATAAATTATAACAAGAAATTCATCTTTTATATGGTTAAATCTACTTAGCTTTCAAAAGACGTCAACTAGTGATGGAAATACTTTTCTGTAACTGCCTATTAGAATCGTTTACCATTTCAGGGGGTGCTAATGAGAACTATGCTAAGACACATTTTCTTTTTCAACTTTAGCAGCCATCCCGTTATTCCATATTGGTTTGTTTATTAGATATATCACACAGTGAGACCGTATTATTTACCGGATGACGTTTCGAACAAAACTTATTGTTCATAATCATATCAATTATAATCACGCGACTTCGAAACTTGAGTTCTGTAGTTTCCTTTGTTCTCTCCTATTTGTGGCAGAATTTTCCGGATATCTGGGACAGGTATTGAATGATTCCTATTACACGTGCTTGCAGTTGAATACATAAACAAAGCTTCTGTTATCAATCTCTCCCCCCACCCTATTACATTAGATTTTAAAACTGTCATCCTATTGTATGGTTGTGTGTAATTGCATGTAGTGAGTGCTATAGCTGAACTATTATCTAGATTTCTTATCTTATTCGGGTACACTAATCTAGATATTGCTAGGTTTTTATGCTCGGCGAGTCTGACTGCCCTGTTCTACTATTTTGACCTGACAATCATTGCAGGTAGGGTATTCGATAAACTAAATTGTTTTGTTTTAAAGGGTCCACAGGATCCTTTAACCGACAAAGCTCGTTTCTAATCGAGTTTGTGGGTTTGAATGCCAGCCACTACTGCCTCGTTAAGAATTCTGTGTAAGGTTTCCAGGGTTCCTACTTTGTATGGAAGTGCTAATGATGATTTAGATTCCTTATTGTCGGTGTTGTCATTATTTTGTACATGTTTGACATGCATGTCCTCATTAATATCATAATTATTATCACTACCACTACTATTATTATTATTTATTTTTACATTTCCCTACATACTTTCTGATTAATTTATCAGGTTAATTATTAAGTTTCAAAGCTTCTCTTATATGCCTCATTTCCTGTCTTAGATTTTCCTTGGTACTATTGAGTTTTTGTGCTCTATTACTTAGACATTTCACCAATCTTATTTTTACTGACATAGGATGGGATGATCGGAAATCTAAATATCTGTTTGAATGTGTGGGTCTTTTGTAAACGCTAGTGTTTAACTTCTTTCCTTTTTACGCTACAATCTAACATTGAAAGCTCGCCTTCCTGACTTTCCAATTCATAAGTGAATTGAATCGCCTCCACCTTTGAGTTAATGTGTTCGAAAAATCTATCTATATCCTGTTTTCTGAGTACAGTGAATCTGTCATCTACATACCTCCACCATACTTTTGAGGTGGGGCTGAACGTTTCAATCGCTAAGTTTTCCCATCTATCTATGAATGTATCTTCCACAACCGGGGATATTGGTGACCTCATGGCAACACATTAACACATCATACGAAAACAAAGTGTGGACCAGAAAAACAACCTCAAGTTAGGTTTCATAACCAAATGATGGTGCATCAATCAAATTTTAACTCATCTACAGATTCTGAGGCACATACTTGCAAGGTTTTACCGCCTGAAGGCTGCATCGTACTCCAGTCACCAAGAGCTATTGTAAGGATACTATACTGTAAAAAGGTGAACTGGAGAAGTATTTTATATGAGTCGAATTTTTCTAATAGAGCTTGTTTAGACGTGTAAGAAGTTATGGAGAACTGGCGTTTGAAGAGATGAACAGGAGTAAAATTAATTAGAGATGCGAAATTTCATTAATAGTAATTAATTTTACTGAAACCGTAATTATCAAGACTCCAGACACTGATTTTCTACAAGGAAAAGTTCTCTTTATTTAAAGCGCGCAAGTGAAGACTCAAACACCTTGAAGGCACTTTGTCCCCGCCAAGCGTCATACTGCTGAATGACCGATCCATATTCTACATATGAAAACATAAAATAATCTAATATGCTAAACACTTCATTTATTCAGAAGGTTACAGAAGGTTCCTGTGAACACTTACATAATGAAATCCATAAGCAATTATCAAAACATCACCTGCCCTAGTTCAGCTTGTGTAACTTTTTGGGTAGAAATAACTACCAATCCATAACAGGACATGAGCACAGCACATTAGTGAGACGTACTCACTGAGAGTGTGATAGGAACAAATTACTCGTGTTAGATACAGAAACCTAAAAGATGATAAGGTATGAAATACTGTTGAATAAGGAGATCACAGCAGACCATGAGATTACTACACAGCATTGATTCAGGTGTTTGCGACGCGTATTACAAATCTGGATTTAATTGTTCTTTCTGTCGGCTGCATGCTTATAAGCAGTGTTGTAACGTGATAGACTGGTGCACTTGTGAACTAAATTTCACACTGGTCCATTAGTCAAACAAGTTGGCGGTGGTTACCTGCAACTGATATTACAATCAAACAATCGTCAGTTCAAACCTAAGAACTTATCCATCTAACTACATTTCATGAAATTTTATGAATATGGGGAACGGAGTCTACATGTGGGCTGAGTGGGAGTTTGAGTCTGGATACACTAAGGGATTTATACAGAAGTATAGCAGAGAAAAAGATAGGAAAGAAAACCACCCAACTGTAGAAAAGAAAGTGTTTGTCTCCCTTTCAAAGGAGATGCAGTGTTATAAAAGATTGACAAAGGAATGAATGAAGAATAAAAAGAAGCTTCCCTCAGCTAAACTCATAGCATCATACAGCACCACTTCTATAAGTCACTCGAAACTGGAAAAATACCCTGCTGATGTCAACTCCAGCTGCGTTTATGAATTGACGTGCACCTGCGGAAGCAAGTACATTGGAAGGATGGAAAGAAGGGCTTCTATAGGGATTTCTGAACATATTCCAACAAACCTGTGCCTGAAAGAAAGCAAATATTCTCAGAGTGCAATTACCAGACATATTGTTGATACCGCACATCTCGTAGAAATTTTTAAGTCCTTCAAAACATTAAATAGACAAAGGATAGCAAATTTACTACCATTTGCCGAAGCGATAGCAATCAAACGATTCAAACCCGACTTATGCATACAGAAAGAGAGGGTGATTAACCTCTCACTCCCTTGGTAACTCAATTCTGATTACATTAATTAGTCATCTAATTCACTGACCTCAACTCACTGAACAAACCTCAATCTTATAAAGTGTAACTGCTTTTGTTTATTGAATTGCTATGTGAACCTGCAAGCTAACGCTACTAGTTAATTTTTTCTGTTTTCTGTCTTACCCCTCTCCCCTCTTTTCTACTTTGAAAGTGTATAAATTGATGATAAAAACTTAAACCAAAAAATTGTAATACTTACATTCTGGGTGCGTCCATTTTATAGTATTTCTTTTCTACTACCACTTGAACATTGAAGTATGTTATTATCATCTGTATAACCATTGTAATTTCAGGTAGTCTGCAGCTGATGAGAACCTGTGAAATAGAACTGTGTAAATTCTTTACAACTTCTTGACTCTAGTCAATTCACCTCACCAGATAACTAAAAAGACTACATGCGCGAATCTCTTACACATAAAACTGGACAACACGCAGGAAAGGAAACTAGACCTAATGTTTATCAGTGAGACAGAAGAAACATCCATATGCATTAAACAAAAATTGTTTCAGTTTATCCAGCATGGGGCTTAGCATCCACGAGACATCTGGAAAGCTACCCTCTTTAAAGCATACTGCTTCATAGTCAATTGACACCGAAATTCCTAAAGAAGCAAAGTTCGTCATTGTAGTCAAGTATTTAAAAGCCTTTCGGAATGTCCATGAAAACGACTGGAACTACAAGTCTGTTACCGGGTGAGTGAACTTTTAAAGCTTATCATACTTCGAGGACTTTGCCATAAACGTTAAGAAATGATTGATGAGGAGCTGGCCGAACTTTGGTTGAAGCTGTGATTGCAGATACAACTTTTCTCAGTTGCTAATTATGGTCAAAATTACTACCAGTCAAAAATAGTCATATGCCGTTAAACAGGACTGTCTGTACAGCGAAATCAAAAATCATAGTTGAGTATTAACTTTGGTGCCTTAGACTGGGTCTTTAGTTTAATTTCAACAAGTTTTAGGTTTGTTATTAACTATAAACACCTAAATAAACCATGTAACTGAGTAATATGTATTTAACAGTATTAGTAATAAGAATTAATCGTACATCAAATTTGCAAATCTGTTTTATAAAAATAAGAACATAAAAAGAAACACTAAAATACAGGGATAGAAGTTAGTACAGTTGAACTGTCTTCAACCTGACTAGTATTTGAACTCAAACGTTCTGCTTGAGTAAGACGATTTACAAATGCTTCAAAATATTCAATCGCAGATCTCAAAGAAGTATTTTTGAATGCTAACAAATATTTATCACTGGATGCAACATTTTCATCGTTATTATTGAAAGTACTAGTATTATTGTCAGTCACTGGATTTGATGATAACTGTTCTACAAGTTCATTTAATGTTGGTACACTGAGTGGATCCAATTTTTCAACTTCACGAGGATCAAATGGAATACAAACATGACCAGTTTTGGGATGTACACAAAATGGACTTTTCAGTAAATGGTTGACACCTTGAAGAGAAACAATGAAACCAATTTTAAACAGGAATGAAAACCAGAAAACGATTTACGAAAGCATGGTTTAAATGATGTGGAGCTACACCAAAAATATTTGCATACAAAACTTCCATAATAACAGTTAATTTACATCGTAATCGATTAGATAACTGATTACTTACACACTGAACTCACGAATCCTACTAGTTTAGTTACAACGAGTCAAGCTAATTCTACGAAGGAAACAAAGGAAACTTGTGAAAAATAAAATCAGGGAATCAATCCAAGAACTAGATCGAGGAAAGCATTTTCATACAGAAATTACTTTACACAAGAAGACTAACAGACAAATAAAAAATTATAACTGAATAAGACTTGAAGTCATCATGTAAGTGTTGCCACATTTGAAATCACTACACAAAGTTATCATAAAATAAAGAAACAAAATAGTTATCAAATGAAAAGGGGTAACTGATATATGTGGCAAAAATCTGAATAATAGTAAATAAATCACTGTATCACTTCAAATGACCCCAATCTATAATCATCTAAAAACCTTTATCATCCATTAATCCAGTAAATAATACTGTTTCACTGTGTGATATATCTCATAGACAAACTAATACTGAATTCCATCATCGATTTCGCCTACCTCGTGATTATCGAACAGGTCAAAATTCTTTAGTCAACTGGTGAAGACTAGCTACTTACTTTTATGCTCCGAACCAGTTATTCGTAGTATTTCCCACTTCACTCAACAAGTCTGTCTGTCTGGATTCAACATAGAACTTGGCACCGAAGTGCAGCAGTTCGAGTTGCCACGTTCCAAATAGCACACAGAGGTAGACAAGAAGATGACTGGAGAGAATTAATAGAGTTTGACAAATATAGGAGTGAAACAGAATGGGTAATGGTAGAAAGGAATATGAAAGATTACAGAGATTGAATACACCTGCGCCATTGACAACGATTTTGAGCCATGTCACCTATTGTCTCCAGCCATTGATTCCTAGAGTCCCGAGGGCCCCAACCCGGGAGTCTGCATCTCCCTACCTGACTCAGTTTAACTGTCAATGATTTCATGGATTGATGCCATGTTTTTGTTTGGCCACCACTGGCTCTTTTCCAACCTGAACCTATATCAGCTAACAATGCCCGTCGGGGGAGGCGGTGGTTAGGCATGCGCAGCACTCAACAAGTAATTATTGAAATCTCAAACAATGTACGAAATATTGTGGAAGTCAAATGAACCAGATTGCCGAACGAAATGTTGGAATTACTCATTTCAATATCGCTGAGATTTTACAAATATAATTTTTTACAAATGTCTATTGTGGAAGTCATTGATAAATTAACAATTGTGGATTTCGAAATAAACCAGAACCTTTGATCGGATACTAGTAACTAGTTTGATGTATCTAGTCCTCTTTTTGGTGCACACTGAATTCTACCAGTCAGGTTTGCAATATGACCACCATTCTAGGTAGCTCACTATCCTGGTGCACATTGATTTGATGGTATCAGATGGTTGGAGGCAATCGGAAGGAGGCCTGGGAACTAGGAGATCAAACCCAGGACCTTCAGGTTACGAGACCAAGCTGGTTGACCATTCATCTACTTGGGCCGGAGTCCGATGATCCGGGAATTCTAACTTCCGTTACTTCGTAATTTTAACGCGACCACCAGCAAATGTTATCGGCAAGTATTTGTTATCACACCGAACCTGAATTTCAATCTATAAACGCCAAATCTCCACATTGTGAGGTATTCTTATAATAGATATTACAAAAGTGCAACCACAGCTTATACTAACCCTTGTAGAATGAAACAACTTACAATGCTAGATAAGAATAACTAATTCAGTGTATTTGAAAAAATGAGAGCATGAGATAACTAGTCATAAGGATATGTAGATTACCAAAACACCGAAGAAATGAATCTATACAAAAACTAGTACTCCAACAAAGATAAAAGCAAGACAAGGCACATTACAGAATTCTAACTGTGGAAAGATTGTCTTACCTGTTGACACATTTGCATCTAGTCTTGGGTATGTATAATTCAGTACTAACTCCTTTGAAATATTTGTGCGACCATTTTCTTTCAAAAACTTTCTCAGTGTGTTCCACCTTTTTGAAGAAACTTCTTCTTTATTGTCTAGAGTATCACTCGACCACTCACTCGAAAGTCGTTCACGAAGGTCCTTCAATTCAGCAGGCAAAAAGGACAACAACTTGTCCAATCGCTTTTGATTGCCGAAAAGATTTTGACCATTTACTGTGCTACAGTAGGATGTAAATCGAGGCATTAAGATGTTACAAGCTGCGTCTACACAAGGATGGAATAGTGGTTCAATATTCCCAGATGATTGTGAATCATAGGATTTTGAATAGTTACCAGCTGTCAGCGTAGGCTAATTTAGAATGAAAAATATACCGATATATATATATATATATATATATATATATATATATATATATTAAATATCCATTCCTATAACTCTTTTGACAGATGCTAATTATTCGGAAGAGAAGTAGAAACTACATAAGAATAACAAGTGTGTAGCACTTTTGACAATCTAATATCAACAATTCGAAGTGCACCGTGATGGCGAGCTACCTAGAATATTGGCCCCATTGCTGGTTGCTGTTCACCAGAAGCTAAAAACTGACGGTTTGAGATTACATTTGTATGCTACAGAGAACTGTCACACTTCTTTGCAAATCCCTACATCGAAACCCAGTCAGTCAGAACATCGCTTCACTCTGGTACACACTACCCTGATGGGTGCTCGCAGTTCCCTGAGAATACCTTGAATGTATGCAATCCTATACTTATGGTTCTTATTTGTGAGTTGTCCAAGCAATACATGTTTACCTAACCTACTCAGTTATGAGAGAGAGTTACGTCAGATGGAGTAGGTTTCACATGCAGAACTTGACAACTGACAAGTAAGCGGCTAAGCCAACCAGCCACACATTTAAAAATAATGCACCCATATATGTAACTAAATACAAAAAAGTTGTTAAGAGCACTTTTTTATTTCTAAGGAAACTGACTACATAGTTTTTGAGACGAGTTAAAACAAAATTTCCGATGAAAACATTACTTTTTTAGCATTGCCACCTCGAACCAAAGTTAAGTACTCTACAATTGCTGTGCGTGAAGTTGGATCCATGTGTCGAGCAGAATGATCACACACCCAGCAATGTACTCCACGACGACCTGAGTAAACCCACAGCAAGTGCTGGAAACCAAAATCTTCTCTTAAAGCACGATCGATACAAAGAACTGCGGAGCGCGCAAGCGGCCAACATCGAGAGCATATGGAAGATCCAGATGAACTTTGTTCGCCACAACAATAACGAACTTCATCGTAGTCAGTCAAATCAATGTCGAAAACCAATTCTTTCCATTCAGGCTGATTTTTCCAAAAATATGTGAAACATAAACAAGAATTAGTATTCAATTTTAGGATATTGCTAACGAGTGATAAAAGGGGCGTTCCACACAATAAAAAATCTGACTAAAAAGGTTCCTGGATCATATCAAAACCAGCGATTTTTATTACTTAAAGTACATCTTCACACAACAACTACATATTAAAAAGCGACAAACAGTCCCGCACTTGAATGCAAAGAAACAGTATAGTATTTTGTTAGTTTCTCAGCCTGAAGTATTTCCGATTATCAAGATTTCACTAATAAATACATTATTTCTTTACTGTGCAGTTATAAATGAAACTAGGAAACACAAAGTTTTCATCTAAATAAAAAGTAACTCGGAATTATGGTGGGTTTTATGAGGAAATATGTTGGAGGACTATTGAAAACCAAGGAACAGTGGGTCTTTTTGACCCGCTTTATTATGCTTTATTTAGCAGTAAGTACTCACGCTGAACAGGTATTGAAACTAAGACCTCTAGGTTGTGAACAGTACATTACCAGTCAACTGGTGAGTTGAAATTTGAGAGGCCATAACTTGTGTCAATTCCAGTGGTTTAAATTCTCAATTATTATCCAATTTACTTCGGTTGATGACGAAGTGTACCTTGAAATCGTCCATATTTCCAGAAATTTGACATGCATATGTTTATACTCAGTTTAACTGACAGTGGACGAAAAGTAGAGACACTGAAATATTACAATAAGGGAAAAAAGCCTAGGGTTACACACATCATTCCTACTGTGAACTAACTGGCAGTAAGTGACTTAACTAGCAGACACTTATATAGGCTTTGAGTTGTGTAACAAAAACTAAACTGCCAGCCTGTATTATTGTTAAGTAGTTTTCTTATAGATGTAAGGTATGTTACTGTGTCTAACATAAAACTTCCAAGAAGCAAACTACTACCAGCCCACTATTAACCACGCAATGAGTTATGTTTTCTATTCCGTACTTCACTTCAAACACTCTGTTGTGAACTCCTTGACCTAGTTTACTGGCCAATCCTAAAACTAAAGAAGAGGAAAGATTGGATATGTGGCCGGCAACTCTACTCAGTAAAAACAACAATCTACTCGCTAGTGAAAATTCAAAGCGCAGGCAAAACAAAGACTTTTCAATTCGAGGGAGGATGACATGAGCCTTCAGGAAGCCAGTCGGTTGACTTGTCTTCTTTAGACGGACGTGAAGTAAACATAGGGGCTTAAAATCTCCAAACTTTTGTTGTCTTACTGATTGACTTTCTCTACTTGCCTAACACTATACCCAGCTTCGTCATCGCTTATTTTGCCGCTACACCCAACTTGAGCGACATGAACCTTTTCAAATTTTGAGTGGGTTTGTCCCACTGTTGTGCAACCGCTATCGTGTCTACATAAACTACTCCACAGATCATAACGCCCGAAGCTGTCACAAATGTGTATTACGAAACTCCACTGTTTAGGTCAATTTTGATGCATGTTATGATTGACAGTAACCCGTCAAGATTCTGAAACACAATTAAACCACATACGTATCAGCTTCAGTAAGAAGTTGTGGGTGACCAAGTGCTGTGATACTGTAGACTACAAAATGCTCTTTGGTATAGACCTTTGATCATCGTGCGTGCTGACTTTGCAATAACCCACCGGAAAAAGTCACATGATTAACCAAACATCCTGTATACAGGTGAATTTTATAGGCAGTCAGGAATATACACGTATGGAAAATCACACCGACCTTGAAGGAAGACGATAAAATCGAACGGTGAAGTTTAGGAGTGTTTGAATACACTGCACCTATATCAATTTTTATCGGGCACAACTTAACAAGCTCCTTTCTAAGATCTGATGAGGAGTCAAAACTTTGATACCGAAGATAGATGTCACCATTTAAAGTGAAGCTGAATTCTCTTCTAGAAAGCTGGGTGTGTTAGAAAAAACACATACTAGATTGCTTCGAGATCCATATGTTAGCCACTGAGCAAATAAATCACATGGGAAAAGTCTTCTGTAGTATATCTTGAGCAACTCTTCAGAAAAACCACCCTCCATGACAACCGAATTGCCTCACTTTTCTATTTCAAGTTTTGAAGGTTAATCCCTTTCAACGTTCAACGGTAAGCATGTCAGCAAAGAAATGTTGACAGACTTTCCAATCTCACAACTTAGTCCCGAACCTTGGTTCTATCCGTTTGGCCGTTATTCGCCACTGTGGAGGAAGTCCACCATACCTTTTTACCTCCAATACTTGGTTGTTGTCTATATGGGTACTAATATTTCGCGGGTCGAGTAAATTGGGTAGATGAATAGGTATTACGACTATCAGGGATCTTCTTATGGCTAACATCTGTGAGAATGACTGACGTTTAGGTGTAGAAGACGGGGTCAGAATAGATATGAACCAGTTCTAGTAAAAGCTGAAGTGAGAAAAACTAAGAAAAGGGACACAAGAAAATTGAGGAGAGGGGGGGCGGCTGGCCCAGAGCCTTTACAAATTGAAAACACCATGTGTTTTCAATCTCCTTTTTGAACGTCTCAGAAAGGCTGCTGGCCAGCATATACCACTGTAATGTTTGTTTATATCTGTAATATGCACCGATCGAATACCGGTAAACAAGACAAAAGTATGGAGGGTTAAGAAGTCAGGAAAGTATACTTGTCTTGTGCTGTTTAAATTCAGTAGTCTTAATGCTGCCAGGAAATCCCAGTCGGCTGAAAAGCTGATTAGTTCATCTGCACCCTATGGTAACGTCAAACCTGCTCTTGACATAACTCCACTTCAGAGACGTAGCCATGAAAGTGTATCAAGTGTCGAAGTACATACCTAACTGCGAAATGTCCTACAAAAGACTCTCTCGCCTTACATTTAAGCAGACCTAGCGCTACAGACACGCACGAAAATGAAATACCCTTAAGTAATAGAGCTTTTCCTAGTAAGCACAACAGTGCAGAAACCATGGTCATTGATATAGATGCATCTTTTGAGTTATGCTCGCTAGAAACATCATCACCATCAGTTGCTAATACCACTACCAATGTTACGCAAAAGTCTAAGATCGAGCATGTACCATCGAACACAGCAACCCCGAGTGGCACTCGGACTAGTGTGCATAAAAACCAAGTAGAAAACGCTGCCATCCAGAATACCGGTTGTAAATCAACTCTCAGAAACTGTCAATGTCCAGCTATTACTACGCTGGACCTCACGCCGTCCCTCGAAGACTTTCAGAAACAATTTGCAATAACCAACGCGAAAAACAGAACACTGATTGGCGACTCGAGAATCCTTTATTCTTACGCCAACATGTAACCAACAATAAGGTTATCACACACAAGGTCTAATAATAAATGTTATAACAATAAATCACAATGATACTTCTGATACTTTTCCTCTCTCTTCCAACGAACTGCGAACGATGAGACTATGACTGATGGATGGATGACTCCCACGAAAAATATGGAGGCGTTGGGTTTGAGCGAACAAACATGAATTGATCGTTTAATCTTCAACTACACTTACACCTCCCGGCAAAATACGGATCCATCCTTTCTTTCCATCACGACCAATACATGTTGACTTGGATGCCATTGCGAGAACCTGGGTCACTCGGACAGAGCTAAAATGGAAAACAAACAGAAAAGCCAACACACCACAGGCATACCCACAGCACAATCTCACACATAGACGACCTACGCCTCCCAGTTAAAGGCATCCTCTTGACATCTTGCAACACAGTCGCCACTTGCTAGAATGACTCTTGCAGAATGCAACGTGACCATATCAGCACCTCGTGATACTCTCCGCACATCCTCTTATCTATTTACTATCAGCTACCATTGCGATCGCTCGTCACTCATTCTGCCTCAATTCTAGTAACGTTGACGTATGCAAGCCTCAGTCGTCTACATTATCGCTCCCCGGCGTGTAGCGCCACAACCTAAATAGAAACATTCATACTCAATCATTGATTCCACAGCTAATCATTATCTCCGTGTGCATGTCATTCTCAGCAATAGCCTTCCCGGCGCATACGACCCATCTGCTGACTTTAACATCAATCAATTCATTCACGGATGTGGAAGACTAGAAACAACTTCAGAAGTAATCACGACGAAAATTTAACAAAATTATGCATAACAACAAGATAAGAAAACAACAAGTAAACATAATGAATCCAAAACCACCAATTGATATGACACACCACACGTATATACAAACAGTACAAATAACCTCGGAGATCATATCTTGATGAAATCCCCTTGAAGAACCGCAGGACTTACACCAGTATGCCTGCAGCCCTTCTTCGGTTGACGATTGTAAGTTGTGGAATGTCCGGACACAAACAAGATTAACCAACAACTACAATAATTGGAACCCACTCAATGAATTAACCCCAACATATGTACAATCAATACATCAACTGTTGTGGATTCCGGCATGACAAACTACCCTTGAAGAACTGTAGGACTTACAGCAGTACGCCTACATTCCTTCTCAGGTTGATGATACAAGTGAAGGTCGTCCGGACACAAACAAAATTATCAACAGATAGATGAGAGATGATACCAATTCAGTATATACAACATGAACATATGTGCAAATTAACACACCAAGCACGTTAGACAGCTTTTCGACGTACTACGTTTGAAGAATTGTAGAACTCACAGCAGTACGCCTACAACCCTTCTCAGGTTGACGCTCTAGGTTGGAAAATCGTCGCAGAGTTTATTTGCTGACCTCTTTCTATCATCTATGTCCTCAAATCTGAACGGTAACACGCCCATGTCATTGTACCGTAGAATATAGGTGACTGACAAACACACAACGTATCTGACCAACCAAGCATAGAAACAGAGTAATTTCACCAAAGATAATAACATTCAAATAGAAATTTGAAACTTGAACGGCCTTTATTCATGCAAGTCAGCTTAACAATTACGCTTATCATCATTAAACTGACCATTGACTTTCGTCCTATCAAACGGGCTGATACTAGCATAGTCATAGCATAAGGCACCTGAGTTCATGGGCATCGCTTTCATTGTGAATGAAAACAACGACGACTGAGTGATACAAGTTGATGAACTTAGCGGTGGATCAGAAGCTGCTGTTGTTCGGCCTTCAGTAGGTTGACTAACTGTAAGTTTACCACCACTGCTGTCTTCTATTATTAGATCCTGTTTAGCACAAGCATCTGTAGATAGGTGGACTACACGCTGATCATTTACATTGATTGTGTCAAGAGTATGCGTAAATTCTGCAACCGCATCTGCCCTTAATTCTATTACACGCTCAAACTGCACAGAACCTTTGTTCAGCTCAGCGGTAGTAGGCATTATGTTCATCTCATCATGATCAGCCAAAAATAAATCTTCACTATCAAGACCACTGTCAAAAATATCCACATAACTTCCACTTGTATGATCAAATTCATCATTTGCAAACTCCAAAATAAAAGCAGTAGAAAATTAGGGTCCTTCCTCATGAACACTTACAGGTTATATAACTTTACCCTGATTAGTAGTATTTTGAAAATGTGTGGAGTCAGAACAGCACTATGAAACTGTAACTCTCTTCTCCTGCACAAACTGCAGTGTCGTCAGTGACACTGTATTCAACAATGACTTACCAGTTGGAACTACAAGCTTCTTCACTGAACCATTATCGTCACACATTTCGTAGTCAGAACTTGATGACGCTGATTTCACATTCAGCTTACTACTAAACTTGCTCACTGATTCACAGTTCACCTTTGTATGCACTTCTTGCAAACGTGTAATACACAACCGTGTTTGTCTCGCAATTTTTAGCTTATCTGTCCCACGAAGGCTGTTGCACTCACTAAGTTTTTATGGATTACTAGACACCATAAAGCCTTCCTGATATCCGCTTCTCTGATATCCGCTTCTCTGATACCCTTTCGTCATAAATGATTGCGTTTTGCTCTCAGACTGCTCTATTCTAGGGGTGGGATGCAATATACTGGCAAACTTGCTCATCGATTGATTGACACTATCTTTTACCGGCTTCGGAATATCATCAAACTTCGGCTCAATACCTTCATCCTCTATACGAGAGCTTATCTTCGCCCACTTCTTTTGCAGTCGAGTAGGTAGGCGTTTCGCTATTGCCTCTAGGATGGAACTTGAGTTCAGATCGCCCACGCAATTCATCGAAATCAACGTATTCTTGTAAGTCATCAGATTATCCGGATACTCATTGAGTGCCTTGGAGTCGTTTTGTAATTGACCACCATTACCTTTAATAGCCTCGAATACGTTCCTTACAATCATCGAAGGTCTTCCGAATCTTTGACGCAGTATACTCATAGCCTCAGAGTATTCTTCGTTAGGGGTCGCGGACTTACAGCACTGTATAGCTCTTGAAGCAACTCCAGTGCAATACCTCATCAAATACACCAACTTCATTTCATCATTTAATAAAAAAACTACTCAACATGATTTCAAACTACTTTACAAACTGTAAATAGTCAGCTGGGTTTCCGTCGAAACAGCGAGGTTCAACTTTAGTTGAATTTAAACCCTTACTATCCCTAAACGGCGAACCATGAACAACAGGCTCATCATGCTGAGCATCATACATATCATTGCATGTAACAGACAAGTCAACATTACTTACATTCCTGCTAGCTTCCGAGACGCCCTGTTCCTTCTTTGGCCCAGGCATCATTAAAATTGACCGAAAATTCCGGTAAAGCTCCAGAAAATACTGGTCCAGAGAAGACTGCCAGGCACCAGGAAAGAATAACGAAAACTATCAGAAACAGTCAGCCAACTCTCAGAAACTGTCAATGTCCAGCTATTACTACGCTGGACCTCACGCCGTCCCTCGAAGACTTTCAGAAACAATTTGCAATAACCAACGCGAAAAACAGAACACTGATTGGCGACTCGAGAATCCTTTATTCTTACGCCAACATGTAACCAACAATAAGGTTACTACACAAAGTTTTGTGATAGATTTTATCCTTCCTCTGAACAGCGGACGATGAGACGATAACTGCCAAATTGATGACCCGTGAAAAATACGT